CCGGACGGGACAGTTGAGTGGTGCACAGCACGGATTCAGACCGAGGAGATCCTGTTGTACTCAACTACTCGAGACTCTTGAAGAGTGGACCAGAGGCCTAGAAAAGGGTGACTCAATTGATGCTGTTTACCTTGATTTCAGCAAAGCGTTCAACTCTGTCCCACACCAGCGCCTGCTTCTGAAGCTGCGGGCCTGCGGTGTTGATGGCAAGCTCCTGAAGTGGGTGCAGGCGTTCCTCACGGGAAGACAACAGAGGGTCCGTGTGAACGGTGCAAGGTCGGAGTGGGCCGCGGTGACCAGCGGGGTACCACAGGGAACTGTCTTGGGTCCGCTGTTGTTTGTTGTCTATGTCAATGACCTGCCCGGCGAAGTCGCGTCCTCTATCAAGATGTTCGCAGACGACACGAAAATTTACAGGAGTGTCAGCCGGGCATCAGACGTTCTCAGCCTCCAAGCCGACCTAGATACGCTTGTTGAATGGTCGGAGCGTTGGCAGCTGCCCTTCAACAGGGCAAAGTGCAAGTCACTGCATCTGGGCCCCCGCAATGGCAACCACGTCTACTGCATGGGTGACACACAGCTGGACCAGACCTCGGTGGAGAAGGACCTCGGGATCTACGTCGACCATCAACTCAAGTTCCGCGACCAGGCAGCTGCAGCGATTACAAAGGCTTCGCGCATCCTGTCCGTGATCCGCCGAAGTTTTGCCCTTCTAGATGAGAACACTCTGCCTCTGCTGTTCCGAACGATGGTGCGGCCTCACCTTGAATATGCCAATTCCATCTGGGGACCCTTCAATCGGGAGGACCAGAAGCGCGTAGAAAAGGTTCAGAGGAGGGCCACGAAGCTGGTCGCCACCATCCGAAATCAGCCGTATGAGGAGAGGCTCCGGATCCTCGACATGCCGTCTCTCTACCACCGCCGTCGCCGTGGTGACATGATAACTGTATACCAGGTGCTGAGACAGGGGATCGACCTCGAGGCGGAGAGGTTCTTCGCGGCGGCGGTGGCAGGCAACACCCGCGGACACTGATGGAAGCTGTCAAAACCGAGGGCCGTCTCCCGAGTGCGTCGAAATGTCTTCTCCGTCCGCGTCATCAACGATTGGAATGCACTACCACCATCAGTCGTCGACGCTCCCAGCCTAAACACATTCAAAGCCAGACTGGACAAACACTGGGCACATTCAAAATACACAACTCATCTTAACGACTGAGTCAGGGCATTGCAACTGCAAGGAGCTCGATAGGACCGGATCCTTGAGGCCAAGTGGCCTTTCAAAATTCCGCACTTAATAAGTAAATAAGTAAATGTGCTGGATATTGCTCCGAAATGGCGCCCAATGAGAAGTGCCTCCTCAGATACTGGTCGTTATTTGCATGCATATGCGCTCCATTTTCCTAGACGGAGAGAGCCCTGGGAACCATTAGCGACGATAAGTGATGAATACGAGCCGACTCCGAGGTCGCCACTCACTTCGCAAATGATTTGGAAGATTTTATAGTAGTCAAGCCGTTTTAAAACATTTCAGTCGCATTTAATTTAGCGCAGCATTATATAACCTCAGTTCGCTAAATAAGGTAAAAAGTAGGTACATGATAGCTCAGATGCTTGCTGGTCACCTATGTAAGTACCCACCGTAGTCACTAGCATGTCTGTAACGTGTTCGGTGTGGGTGACGTCATCGTGGGAATAGTGCACCTTTTCTGAGGAAATCACTTTGATAAATATATCGTGTGGGGATTCTTTCCATAATTATCAGAAACACTTTAACGAAAAATATAATGTATATATCAAATGCCATTTCATAAATGTTTTTTTTTTTCAACTCCCGCGAGTGATCACACCATGACGTCAGCCGGCTGTGCGTAGTGTCTCGTGACGCCACCTGGTATTTATCGCCTTGACAGTACTTAGGCGATACATCTGGTCTTAAATCGTGTAAATGATATCCTGAAGGCTAGCATGAACTAGGTCTACATTTTTTTTTGTGAATGAATATGTGAGTAAGGTATAAATGATGTTCTATTTAAGTATTTTGTTCCTCTCTCCATCTCTATTCGTCTCTCTCTCTCTCTCTCTCTCTCTCTCTCTCTCTCTCTCTCTCTCCGTCTCTCTCTCTCTCTCCTCTCCACTCTCTCTCTCTCTCTCTCTCTCTCTCTCTCTCTCTCTCTCTCTCTCTCTCTCTCTCTCTCTCTCTCTCTCTCTCTCTCTCCTCACAAAGGCAAATTTTGAATGTTATGTATTTTCATATTAAAGCCAATTGGGCAATTCATTCCTTATTCGCCTAATGTTGAATCACCACTGAGCAGACGGATGGTCGAGCCAAGGCAACACAAGACCTGTTTGCTACTTCGGCGGGATGGTCTGCCGATGAGTAATGTCCCAACTCCCAACCATCCTTCTCCCAGCCTCGCTGATAAGTGACCTCCCCGCTCACACATTATCAGGAGTATCCAGTTCCACCGCCCAGCCGGGGAGGGTTTGCCGGCCGCTTGGCGTGCCGTTTCACTCCGTAGTAATCGGCCGTACCGGGCCACTGCCGTCATCAGGTTACTAAGCACACTGTGCAACACGAGCAGGCCCACCGGCCAATGGGAGTGCCCCAACTTCGGCAGTGCAATCAGACATTTACCTATTTCATTTTTAATTTCTGCGCCCCACTCATTGAACAAGCGTAGTGGAGTCAGGAGCTCCCTCAGTTTGTAGGGGACGACCGAGATGGTCCGCGGCGTCCACATCTGTCATTTGACCCCGACCTGCGGCGAGTGGTGGGCGGCTCAGAATTACCTCTGTCGACACTGAGCCGACACGTTCCGCTCATCGGTCGTCGGTAGCGCCGGACGGGGTCGGGGTGCTGACCGGAGGTCGGTGGTGATGACCGGGGGTCGGTGGTGGTAACCAGAGTTAGCGCCGGACGGGGTCGGGGTGCTGACCGGAGGTCGGTGGTGACGGAGTCGGGGTGCTGACCGGAGTCGGCGACACCGCACGGGAGCTGGTCGGTGGTGATGACCGGAGGTCGGTGGTGGCAACCGGAGTTAGCGCCGCTTATTGGGATCAGCGCTGCTAACCGAAGTTAGCGCTGCTAAGCGGAGATTTGCTCCCTTGACCGGAGGTTTGCGCTGCTGACTGGTGCTCAATGTCCCGGTAATTATAGATAGCGGCGGACAGCGCGCCAGCACACCGTCTCACATGTCAGCTCTGAGCTCGATGGAGTTTGGAGCCTTCCTGTAATCTTAGCATGATATGCCTACTCGACGTGAGATAATCCCACGCGGATGCGATACCTTGCCGGAATATCGGTAAATTCCCTCCGCCACAGCCGAGTACTTTCATGACACGAGCGTGCTTCAGTTCAGACTGAAGTCGGACAAAATGGTATTCATCGATCAAAGGTCGAGAGTTGATGGACAGCCACCTGGCAACTGAAAATGAAACGCCACCTCTGATCCGGCGCCTTGGCCCCTGGCAATCGATTTGATCAACACTTCTGCATAAACATTAAACAGCATGGGTCATTTCGCAGGGGCGGAACAAACACAGTCGTACTCAGAGGCCATATCTGACGTTCGGCAAACTCCTAAATCACAGCCGAATAGAAATGTCCACGGATACCGTGAAGCAGGCTATTAGAATTGTTACTACGAATTAGGTGGCTTATTGACTGTAAATTGTAGGATGTGTCTCACATGAAAGGATGCATAACGAACGATGGTGTTCGTGTGCTTATGCCCTCTATATATGGCGCTGCAATGAACGTAATGTATGCCCTCGGACACAGGAAGTAGCACTAAAGCTTTACACACATGCTGTATTTCACACAAAGTACATATGAAACTAAGAAATCGGCCGTGACACTGCGATACGATTAAGCATAAAGGAAAATATCGAGCGTGGGCTACGACCGCTTGTCCACGTTTTTGTGGAGGGCTACGTCACATGTATATATATGCGGAGAGTGAAGTGATGAATGCTCATAAATGCATCCCCACTTTTGGATACAAGTGCGACTGTGCGACGTAAGCAGCTTATTGTTTGGAGGGGTCAAATTGTCCAGTCCGGAACGTCGCACAGTAATTTTCAGTTACTGTAAAACTTTCCAACCACTCATGACGCTTCTTGACTTAGCCATGGAACGGAGCTTATGGACGCCTGTATAGAAATGCAGAGCCGAAGCTGACCGTGTTCCGTGCACGTGCTGTTAGTTAGTGCGCGCACTCACGCAACTAAATGCGGAACTGGCTCCGCTGTTTTAAGAAACACCTTGCGTGTTTATGTAATGGATGTTATGTAGAGATAAGTTTCTGACAAGTTCGCAGCCCAAATTGATATACTGATAACCACTGATGCAGGTTTATACAGAGCACAAGAAACAATTGGACCAATTGTAGGTACTCTTCATTTCCTTGGCTTTCGATTGTTCGCTGCGCTCAGCCAGAGGGATTAAGAAATAATATCCTATTTAGACGCAGGGCTCGGACCACATTATTGTAGAATATTAATGACACGCCTCAGGCTGTCTTGGATGCGCGAAACTTTGGCGGAAGTTTATCTCGGTCATAACTTGTTAGCACCGCATCAAGGACCTAATTGCACCTGTAGTTGATTTATTCAACAGCAGCGCCTAGCTACTTGAAAATTCCTCACTCGTATAATCGGTATTGCAGGTGACAATAAAAGTGACACTGCGTGGAGAATGGCGGGACAAAGTTGGCACCGACAGTACGTACGTTTGATTTATCGCAACGGAGTCAGTTGAAGTCACCAGAGTCACATGAATCTCCAGAGTCCTCGGACTGCGAAAATATCTGAGAGTCCCGTAGATGAAGCCCGAGTCACCAGTGTCACAGGAGTCCCCGGAATCACCAGATTCAAAGAAGTCCAACGACAGACCAGTCACAAGTCCCCGGCCCATGAGCCGCGCGTGTATAACGAGTGTGGAAGCCCACGTTCCAAAAGAAGCCGGCCGGTTGGCGTGACCGAGCACCATAAACGCTCACCTTTGATGGCGTACAGCGAGCCCAGAGGCATCACGAAGACGCCCACAATGAGGTCAGCCGCCGCTAGGCTCATGATGAACATGTTGGACACCTGGAACAGAGAGAAGATGCAGTCAGCTCAAGGATCGACGACTCGCCACAGTCCCTGCTCTGACCTGAGGGTGACTGATCTCAGGGAAGGAGGCGGACAGCCGGCCGGAGGGAGCGCGCTGTGAGCGGAGGGTATGCACTGTGCTGGTCGGTATGGGACAGTCATTCGCACCATTTCCGGCTGGTTTTGCAGGCTGGCCGAGACTCTGGAAACCGCGCGGTGTTGACGGTGTGTGCTGTTATTGCTGAATGATGCTGTAAAGCGTGTGTGATTGTGCATGCATGAAAAGAAAGATTTAACTGACATAAAAGATAGTTTCTTAAACAAATCCTGAACGTTTGCAGGTCTCTTCCAACACGTATGTACCTATTTAGGTACTTGATTTACTGTACATACTAGGTAGCTACTGTATACAAGTGCTTATCGTCGACAGAGTGGCGACTTTAAAGCGAGTCAACAAGTTAGCAGCAGCGCTTCAAGTAGCTGGTATTCAGCTCGTAAATCCGGCTCCGAGCTGGTGAGGGCGATGGATTCCCAGAGCACAGTCCTCAGTGCTGATTGCCGTTCCGCTTGACCCTGACAAATTGTCGGCCCGCGGTCAATAGTGCAATATAGATGGCGCGGCCGTAAAGTATTGGCACGGCTAACAGGCAATTAGCCCTCGCCCCGTTGGGGGGGGGGGGGGCATTTTGGCCCCCCCTGTGGTTTTTCCTGAATAGCAAGAAAACGGCGGCGCGCAGCGCCGCCAAATTTTCAGTACCTTCCCGGGCATCAATTTGACACCTTCACACCAAATTTCAAGTCTTAGGTCACCTTAGGTCAGGAGTTATTGAGGTCAAACTGAGGTCATGTTCGAGCAAAAATGAGCAAAAAACATGCAATTTTGAAACGCTCACCAAATCTACAGTTATCAAGCAATTTCAAAGTTTTTTATATGGTGCTACAAAACTGCTATCTCGGATTTTCAAAATTTTTGGTTTTTGACCAAAAAAAATTCAAAAAATTGATTTTTTTAGAAAAACTTTGAAAAAATCCAAAATTTTCCGAATTTCGAAAAAACCGGAATATATGTGATAGCCCCAGCGCTCTTCTATATACATACCAAATTTCAGATCGATATCTCGTTTTTTGGCCAAGTTATAGCGAAAAAACTGTTCAAAAATGATGACGTCAAATTTTTGAACTCAATTTTAGCGATTCTAGACCACGTACGGCAAAACAAAGACCACCATTGAACTCCTCGTGACGAGCTGCATCGATTCGATACCCATTTTATGCAAAAATATTAACTTTGAAATTTGACCTAATTTGACCTGACCTTGACCTGACCTTGACCTGACCTTGACCTGACCTTGACCAAAACGTGATCTAAGCTGGCCCCAAAGGCTGCCTGACCCATATAATCGCATTTGTCATGTAAAATGGACCATAAAACATGTATCACACGACACTTTCATATTGTGACCCCCCGTGACCTGACCTCTGTGACCTGACCTGGTATCAGTGACCTCAAATAGCAAAATATGTGTTTGAAGAACATTTCCCCATCGATGATTTTCAATGAAATGCATTTTACTCGATTTTACAACGCATTTCTTGAAGTGCCTCTAAACGGTGAAAATTGGACCTTTGACCTGACCTGTGACGTCATCGGTTTGACCTAGGTCAATAAAATTGGGTCACAAGGTAGTTCCCCGTTGGGGCTATCCAACGCCGTTTACCGCTTGTCGCTATGTAGCGTGGTTCTCGAGATCTTAGGGGGGGGGGCCAAAATGGCCCCCCCCCCAACCGGGCGCGTTGCTCGGCAGAGCCCAACGGGGCGCGGGTTAGCATTGAATGCGGCGTGTCGTCGTGTCCCACCATCAGTGTTTTGAGCTGCATGATTGCTGATTACCTGGAGCCGGTGAATGTCATTATTTACGACTGTATGCACCCCATCAGGTGTGCACTTACCGTACCCAGGTGGTGCAAAAATATTTATTTACGATTTTAACATGCTATGAGTATCGCATATACAATTTATGGCTGGGAAACTTAATCACGAGGGCGGCGAGCTCTTTTGATGTTGACAAAATGACTCGCTGCAAGAGCTCAAGACCAATATTCAAAGGCCATGTTTTTAATGTTGAAACATTCTTGTGAAAACCAAAATACAAAACATTTAGTTTCAATTATTCTTATAAAAACTTCTGACAACCGAAAGTTGTTGGTAGGTTTACATAAGTTTAAATGGACCGTGATTATTCTCCCTGTTATAAATTTCCAATAAACTTGATTTCTTGTCTGTTTTTCACCAGGCATTACGTAGTTGATCGTTGATTCAAACGTAATTTGACGAACTTTTAGGCTGGAAAGT